AGGTGATATAGCTAGTTCTTCAAGAACAGTGTTGTGCCTCGAGCTCCAGAGTTCTTCTAGAGCATCTCAACCTTTCCTAGCACATGGCTAGCTCCTAAGGCTTTGATTCCCTATCCTAATCTGCTTGCCTTTATAACAAGTGTGCACTGGAGCTTCTGCTCCTCTCACTGAACGCAGCTCTCAGGATCACATGGCTTTTTCCTCCCAGAGCTCAACTAACTCACTTTTCCTTCAGCCCCATGTGGAGTTCTGTCCCTCACAGGTAGCAGCTTGATAGGGATACTCTTACCAAATGCTAGGAGTTCAGCCTAGGTTTCATCACTGGCTGCACAGAAAGCCAATCACTGAGATGAGTATTGCCAGGAAGAAGACCTTATTCAGGTAACATCAGTTGGAGAGATGGGAGACAAACCTGGAATCTGTCCCCTCCCCAACAATAAAGTTAATGGTTTATATCGCCAGGAAGGACAACAGGAGGGGCAAGGAAGAGGAGTTGGTTAATAGGCAGCAGATGCATCTCATTGTACAAATATGTTTCTCAAGCATCAGTTCTATGGGCATTCTGGCTTGTTGGAAAATTGTTCAAAACTTGTGGGTCCTGCCCTGAGCTTCCACTTGGCTTGAAGTCTGGTTCCTTTTTGGCCATAATGGGACAGTTTCCAATTATCCGAGAAATAGTGATCTAATCATCACATTTTCTTGGCTCTATGATTTAGTCTTCACTCTCAAGGTATTGCTCCACATCACCACAAATAATTGAGAATTTGTCCTAGAACATAGCATTTATTGCATCAAAAATAACTCTCTGTCATATTGCAATTTTAGAATCAAATCTATGTATGAAGCATCTAAAATGGGTCCCAGTGATCCCTACCTCTTGGTATTCATGTCCTTGTATAATTCCTCCTTTGAGTATGGGCTGAACCTCATGACTCATTTATAATGAAGACAGTGCAGTCACAGTGATGGAATGTCATTAGATTAGGTTGTGAAAAGACTGTGACTTCCCTCTCGCTGGCTGATCTTATTCTCTCTTTTGTTTGCTATAATGGAAGCCAGCTTCCCTATGGAAAGACCCACGTAGCAAGGAAGTGAGGACGGTCCCAGGTAACAGAAAGCCAGGGACTAAGACACACAGTCCAACAGCCCAGAAGAAACAAAATTCTCCAACAACCACACAAGTGAGCTTCAAAGCGGATCCAGCCACAGTTAAATTTTCATATGAGATTGCAGCCCCCTTGACTGCAGTTTTGTGAGAGCTGGCAAGGCATGAATGCCCCAAAACTGTGCCCAATTACCTGACCCCAACATACTGAGGTAACAAATGATTTTTTTTTTAAGCAGCTAACTTTTGGAATCATTTTTATACACAAACAAATAACCAATATTGCATCTAAGCTAACCCTTCTGCATGATCCAAGAGTAGAAAAGATTCACATCCAAGAAAATTTGTTTTATCCTGAGGCTGAAATCAAAATGAAGACAGAAAACTACATTGTCAAAATTCAAGCATGATAAGGAACATGATGTTAGGAAGATTATTAACTTTTCATTTCTTCCTTTCTTTTTTTTTTTTTTTTTTTTTTTTTTTTTTTTTTTTGAGACGGAGTTTTGCCTCTCTCACCCAGGCTGGAGTGCAGTGGCCCGATCTCAGCTCACTGCAACCTCCACTTCCTGGGTTCAATCGATCCTTCTGCCCCAGCCTCCCCAGTAGGCACTTGGCACCACACCTGGCTAATTTTTGTGTTTTTAGTAGAGATGGGGTTTCACCATGTTGGCCGGGTTTGTCTCAAACTCCTGACCTTGGGTGATTCTGCCACCTTGGCCTCCTGAAGTGCTGGGATTACAGGTATAAGCCACTGCACCTGGTAGACTTTTGATTTCTAAGGTTGACTATTAAGAGGAGAGCAACATGCCTATCCTTCTATTCCTACCATCCCAAATGAGTAAATGGAAGAGGCAAGTCGTTGTTGCCTGCCGGGTGTCACTTGGCTGTTGTTTCCTCTAGCTGATTTGGGCAGATGCAAAGTGGCTCCAGGATCCAAGTGCAGTGTTAGCATTAATAAATTCCCAAAATATCTTGTTTTCCTGGGGTAAATTTACTTTATAACTACCACCATTGCCAACCAGAAATTAAATCAATAAATCAGTATGAGGAAATTGTCAAGAGGAGCTGGGAGTCCTGCTAGAAGAAACCAAGTATTTATGGACTGAATTCCCACATCCCTCTGTAGCTGGCCTGTCACCCAGTTCCAAGGTCATGGGAGGCCTGGAGAGGGGGATGGCATCAGGCCACTGGGGGCTGGAAAAACTGCAGCACTCTAGGTCCAAGTTGGCTATGGTGTCTCTGTAGCACATTTCCCCACTCCTCCAGGAGAAAAAGAGAAAGGAATCATTGCCAAGCCCTTCTGCTCTTGTTTCTCGCAGGAAATATGTATTTCTAACTTTTTAACCCTTTGCAGATATTTTCCATTTCTGC